GAGATTTTGTTTTGCGGAAACGAAAGAGAGAGAGAGAGAGACGGGATGTGTCGATGTTATCGCTGCACGTAGACAGCCGCGTCCTCGTGCGGGCGGTGTGCACCTGGCAACAAACTATGCTGTTCGATCATCGTATAGTATATTGATGGTACTATACCATAGTTGGTAATCGATTGCATAGTACATGTATCACGCACGCATAAGCATATTTAAAGAAAACAAAGCGTATATATTATATACATATACATATATACACACGCAGATATATATGTATATATATGTATATGAGAAGAACGATGGGATAGAGGAAGTAAGAATCACGGTACCAGTCGGAGAGCATCGAGAGCAAGCGTGAATGGAGAGATTCTCCTCGGCGGAAAGGATGAAAAGAACAGAAAATATTAACAATTTACGATTTACGATTAATAATTATTAACGCCTGTAGGGCACGGTGTCGCGAGGCGGGGCTTCGATCTCGGCGTGCGGCGTGCCCCTGATCGAGTTTGTTCGAAGAGGGGGCCGCCACGGACTTATAGTACAAAGTAAACTTAATGTTTAAGGGGTAACAATGAAGAAATATGAGAACGGAGAAACGACCGATCGAGCCGGCGACGAATCGGTCACCGCGGAGATCGCGAGTTCTCTCGTAGGACTTACTACTGTACACGCTATAATAATCTAACACGATAGGGTCGACGATAATGATAGATTACGGTAATATGATGATTCATGGTTTATATATAAATATATATATAAATATATTATACGGTCGAAACGGGGAACGGCGTAACGGCGGCGGCGGCCGTGCCGGCGGACGGTCGAGGATTCGACGGTCCCGATTTAATTAAGCTCATCGCGCACACCGCATCTCGATCATGATCCACGGGAAAGAGTATGGATCGAACGTTCGTTTCGCGTCGCTACACGACGACTCTGTCCCGGGACCGCGCGTCCGTTCGCTCAAATATCGTCGAGTCGGATCTCTTACCGCTGCGTAATTTTAAGAAGGCGATTCTTGCTTGAAATGAATTTACGCGATAGCATCCGTTACACGTTCGACGCAGAGTTCTTAACGTGTTACCGAACTGGTATCCACGAATTACAAATTTTATATGAAACAGCTTGCACCGATATTGTACCGCGCCGTTTACCGGTGTACCTTCTACATCGATGTTAATTGCAGTTTATATTTTTTCCATCGCCAGGTTCGTAAGAACGCGGGAAACAAAATCTGACGGCGAAGACTAAACGAGACGCTTGTAGAAAGCGTAATAACAGACGCGAGTTAAAGACGTCTATGGTACAAACGGTCTAAATATATCAAACGGAGAAGTCGCAATTCGTTTCAAGAGACTGTAATTCGCGGAAGTTGTCGATACTTAATGATATCGCAACGATATCGCTAAGACATCGTTAAGAGGATTAGAAGCAGCAGAGGTGTCATGTAACTCGTTGATACGTTTACTTTCGTCGAGACTTCTTGCAATATACTAGCGCAGCTCGAAACAATTCAACATAATATGGTAAACATTGACGCGATGCAACGCATAAAGAGGCAAATTTTAACCCTTCGCACTCGAAGCTATTTTAACTGTAAATACAAAATCATTTTTCTCACTTGTAGTATTTTTTTATTCTATATGATAATATGCACTTTATGCATATGAAATTGATTCTTAGGACTCGCGCAACAGTTACGCTCTTAACAATTTTTTAAATCTACACTTTTTGTTCGTATAAAAATTATCTTGAAACTTGATGTAACAAATTTCAGCGGTGCCGCTGAGTCACCGCTCGAGTGCAAAGGGTTAAATTAAAGAAGTACAAAATGAAAGAACAAGCATTGGCTACAATTTTGCACCGATAGAATGCAGATTGAAAGATTAGGCTCCTGTGAACATGATTTCAAGAAAAATACATGCGAATATATATTTATAATAACTAATTCTCGCATCGAGCATATAGATATTGATATCGAATAGCTTCGTTGTAATTAATGTACCGCACTTTGACATGCCTTAACGATGTCTCAACGATGTCCGCATCGATCGACAGCCGCGCTTTCGAAAAGAAAGCACAAGATAATTCTGGACGAATCTCTCGACGGTTTTTGACCAGGCGTCGCGCGCGCGTCCCTTGCGTGACGGAATAGTGTTCTGCGATTTCCGGGAAGAAGAGGGTAAAGTTCAAGCAGCCCGTTTCGAGTTTTCTACATATCAATATTCGCTTTACCTTAGATCTACCGGAGGCACCTTCTGCGCTGGTTAACTCGAAAGACACGTCGCAACGCTTATAGTTTTCGTCCTGGAAAGATTTTACCAGACATAGAATAGCTCCCGAAACATGATCGCGCTAAAGATTCTCTTATACATTTCTCTTTTTTCCACCAAGTTTTTTTTCCAAATGATCTTGCTAATAGTCAGGATCAATGATACTTTACAGAGGGAGGTATTTACGGCGTCCACATCGCATAATCGATCTACGACTTTTCTCACATTTGATCGTAGATTGAATAACAAACAGATGGGATCCGAGCAACCGAAAGTACAAATAATAAGGCAGAATGCAACGCGATACTCGTTCCCAAACCGCGACTCGACGTAGACATTACGCGTGCAGATATTACATCCACGAGTTTCCAATAGTATAGAATCTTTGAAAGTTTACGGGCACGTCGTCGCTACCGACATCGTTCGTGTTCTAAGAATTCGTATTCCAAGATTGCCTTGCCCGAAGCGACGCGAGTTCAGATATCGACAGTTTTTCAGTGACCATAATGTTGCTCCAATCTCGTCGAGCAGTGTGTCAGCAATACGGTCAAATTCGCCCCAATTTTCTTCCAGTTGGTAAACAGACAAACGGACAATTTGGAAAGAGGAGATACGATTGTTCGAGCCCCTTGCACCCCGTTCTTATAACTGTCGACGAAATCGGTAACTATAAAAATGTGTGGCTCGAATAATCGTATCTCTTCCGAAATTGTCCATTTCTGTTTACGAGCCGAAGGAAGATTAGGGAAAATTGACATGCGCATGCCGACAGTTTCGGCTCGCGAAAGCATCGGCGATAGCCGTTACCACGTTAGCGGCCACCCCCGCATCGATATAATCCTAGAGTCGAGGCCACGACGACGTCGCGTCTTTCGAGCGGCACTGTTCATTCGCGCGCGCGCCTCTTCTTCTCCGAACCACGGGACAACGGCTGCGAGTCGACCGTAAACACGCGATCATATTTTACAACGGGTAGCTCTCGACGATTCACGCCAGTCACAAGAATCGTCCAGACGCGTGCCGCGGACTGCTCAACTTCGTTTCACCGTGTCCGCGCGATCCTCGCGGAACGATTTTCCACAGACGTTGCCACGCGAACAGTCGACAGGATAGCTCTGATTCACTGAAGCAACGTGCTCGCTCCATCCGTTTTACAAATCCAACCGGAAAAGACTGGAAGAACTCGACACTGCCAGGGACGATTCGCGAATCCTTCCGTGACCCGTCTGCCGACGCGCGATCCTGACCGCCGTCCGTCACAATAACGGATTACAATACTTCGTCACACACTAGTACAAATGCTACCTCACACACGACATACAGGGTGCAGAGTGAATAAAAAGAAGAAAATGAAAAAAAGAGAAAAATTGAAAAGGAAAAATCTCTCTCTATATGTATCTGTCTCTCACTTTCTCTCTCGCTCTGTCTTCTCTCTATCTTTCTCTCTCGC